GCAAGCGAAGCCCCGCCCCCTCCGGAGCGACCCGAGCCTCATTCTCTCCCGCCGGCCGCCGCCGCCCGCTCCGAGCGCTCACCTGGCCTCAGGTGTTGCGGCCGCGTGCGGCTTCCATAGCGCCCCGCGGGCAGTCGGAGGGCGCATGCGCCGTCCAGCTGCCTGCCCTTTCCCATAGAGGTGGGGCCGCCTGGGTGGAGCGGCTCCAGGTGGCGCGCCAGCGGCCCCTGCAGGAGGGAGGCGGCGCGGCGGGGCTTGGCAGGCGTCGCTGCGCCGCAGCAGCTGGGACAGGACCAGCGCAATCATCTGCATTGCAATATTGTGCACCCCCTGCAGAGGGGACGGCCTTGGAGCACGCCTGGAAATGCTGGGATCGAGCCAACGGGTGTTTGCAAGGGACTGGATCGCAGGACACAGATGGCACTGAGCAGGGGGGTGCAGGGGGTGCACTGCCCTGCTGCATCTACACCCACTTTGAGTCCTGCTGCACACACAGTTCATAACCAAGTAGTGACCGTGGACAAACTGGAGAGAGCCCAGCAGAGGGCAGCAAAAATGATGGGGGGGTGGGCACTGGGGGACATGACTTTTTAACGGTCTTGATTTGCAACTCATCCAGCCAAATTTTCTTCTGCCTTCCTGCTGTCTGGTAGCTGCTCTTTCGCAGCCCGGCAGACTGTTTTAACTCATTCCAATGACGTTACATTTGTGTTTGCTTCCGTCTTAAACTCAGGAATCCAGCCCTAACCCCGCGGAATATTAGTAAAGCTTCTAGTTGCCTTTTACCTGGAGAAAAATATGTGTTGGGCACATCTGCACGTTCATTAATGTGCTTTTCGCTACTGCGCGTTGAGTACCTCTGGGCACCTGTACACAAGCACAGAGGCTGCTCCGGCGCTCTGGAATTCCGGCCTGTCAGCGCCGACTTGATTAATCGAGTCGGATGGAGCGAGGTCATTGCTCATGAAAGTCCCTTATGGAGGAACCGGCTTGATGGGATAGGGCTGACAGTTCTAGGCCTCATCGAACGTGCTTAATTCAAGCACCCTGCCACCATGTTTAAGCTTTGGGATGCTGATACGGAAGACGTGGCAGCGCTTTCATCAGAGCAGCACCCAGGGCCACTCTAATTAAAGCACCACCCCCCTCCCCCCAAACCCCCAGAGCATGTGTAACAGTGCCCTCTAATATGAGGTACTACATAAAGGCGTATTCGACTGCCCTAATGCACAGTAGCAAAAGCAAACACCTTTTCAGTGATGCTAAGTGTGGAGTAGGCTCATTCTACTGCACATTAGCATTTTAGCACTGGTTTTGACGTGATGCCTTAATGCGCAGTAGAATGAGTCTACCGTGCGTTAAAGTGCATGGGTAGACCTGCCCGTTGTGTTATATGTGATGGTGTGCCTCACCATCTGTACCCCATTTTTCAAAATCCTAGTTCCACCTGTGTCACTGAGTGTAGGACTTCCCTTCATTTGGCATTGTCAAAGAGGGAAAATAACAAAACAAAAATCAGATCCAGCTGCTGAAATGCACTGGGTTGTAATTTTGAGATAAAGTACAACGAAGTATGGGCTGTGAGGGTTAGTGACTTCCTCTGTAGCAGGGTGCAGCCCTTTTTGGCTCTCTCTGGTGTATTTTAACAACTCTTGCAGCAACAGGATGGTGGCTGCTGTGGTCCCCCTGCTTTACCTAGGACAGATCAGGGTGTTATGTCTCATGGCTGTGTCAGGGTTGACTGTGTAGTTTTGCTGTTAAGCTAGACGGTGGATTTGCATGGGATGATTTAGATAGGGATGATCCCGCCTCAAGCAGGGGCTTGGACTGGATGTGACCTCCGGAGGTCCCTTCCAGCTCCAGTTCTCTATGATTTCTATGAAAGTACAAGTTCCTAGAAATGAATGTTTAATAGATGTCCACAAAAAGCAAATTCCCTCAATAAGTGCAAATGTACCAATTGCTGGGAAACTGCAAGGGAAAAAGTAGAAATGATAAGGACTGCAGTATTTATATGAAGACTAGCACATTGCCCATCAAGAATGCCAGGGGGTCCACCTGGCCCGCGTCCACTGGCCTCCCTGCTGGCTGTTGTGGGGGGCATCCGGGCACGGCCACTGTGATCCCCCCACTTCGCTCTCAGGCAGGGAGGCGGGGGGGAAGCCCCACTGCTCGGGCAGCCGGGGCATGTTCCCTGCCGCCAAACTTCCCCAACAGCGTTGCAGACTTGGCCTGCGCAGCCTGGGCCACCCAGCCAATTGCCGCCCGCCCTCTCGGGCACATGGGCAGTTGACCAGAAGTGTTACGGATGGACAGACACGCAGACAGACAGACGAAACCTTTTATTATACGTGGAAGTGGAAATGGAAGATTATGGCTTTGTCTAGAATAAAGCCTGAAAAAGGAGGGGGAAAGGAAAAGGAAGGAACTGAGTAGTGGTACAGAGGGGATATACAGGGTCTGCGCTTGTAAACATTTAAGCCTGTGCGTAGTTACACACTCTCTCCCCCACTGAAAATGTACTTCGGTACTAAAGTGTCTTTGGTACTAGACCATCCCTATCCCATCTACTGGGTTTGTCCATAAGGGGATTTCTTGAGATGAACAGATGCTGTACCATTGATAGAGCTGGGAGAATAAATTGAATTGCCTAGCCTTGACAAACACGGCTTTTCCTTCATGGTGGGAATAGAGGCTAATTTCAATTTTCCACTCTGACTGCAAGAGCTTGTGGTTATTTGAAAGGAAGAGCCTGTTTTGGGTTTGTTTTTTTTAAATATGGGTCAGAATTACTCAAAAATCCTAATCTTTAAAATAGGTGCATGGAAAGTAGATTATTACTTTTGTATTACAATTGCACCCAGAAACCTTAGTCGTTCCTGGGCTCTGCACACGCACAGGAAAAGGTGTTCTCCCAAGTCTAAGAGACAATTTTGCAAACACTTCCGTATTTAAGCACTTGTCACCTTTAAGCGCTAGTCTGGTTCCACTGAACTCAAACATGTCTTGTTACGTCTTGGGCCTGCCCACGCACCTGCTTCACTCACTATGGCCAATTTTGGGATTTTTTTAAATCATGATTCTTCCTGTATTTGTTGTTTTTTTTTAATCTTGAGCTCTTGCAGACAAGCAATTGTACCAGAAGCTCTGTGCTCATTACCAATAAGACATTTCTAGTTCTTAAGTGTTTGGTTTTCTTTTTCCTAAAAACAAAAAGAAGCTTGAAAACAATGATCAATGGCAAAAAGGCAACCTGAAGTGCAGACAGCTTTTTAAACCTTATATTTTTAGCCAGTCCTGTGATTTTGGGGGGCCTGAATCGTGACTTTTGAACGCGTGGAGTTGCCACTACTGCTAATTTCCTATGTGTGAGTAGCATATTGGGGCATCATTTAACCAGGGGTGCAGGGTCGGAAAGAGGACAAGTCCCATCTGAAGGAGGGAAGGCAGAAGAAATCAAATATATACTTTTATATACATGTTCGCCATTTTCTTTCAGATTACTACAAGTAGTGAAAGTAAGGGCCAGCTAACTTCATGGACCCTGAGAGCTGTCAGTCATTGATTTCCTCCAGGCCTCGTGACAAAGTGGGTTTAGAAGAATTTGAAAGAGGGCAAAGGCCTTACAGAGTAGTTCAGGCTGCATGCGCAATGCATGAGTCATTAACTTAGGTCTTATTTCTTGGAGCTCAGATCCGATGATCCATCACGACTGCATGGTGTGAGGGGAGCACCGTGCTCCTGCTTGACAGGCCAGCCCTGCATGAGCAGCCAGAAGTGGCTGATTTATCCCATTGACTTCACTGGCTGAACAGCGGCGAAAATTGAGCCCAAAGAATAGGACTAAATTTGCACAGTGGCAAAAAAAAAAAAGCCAGACTAGCCTAGAATGACAGCCAAGTCTGCACCAATGCCAGGAAATAAAGATTTCTTGACTTCCAAGCTTTTCCCTCTAGAAAAATGTCCTGACTTCCAAGCTTTTCCTGCTATTATATGTTTCGGATTAAATATATGTTTGGGATTAAAAAAAGGAAGCCCCTATCCACCTTTTCCCATGATTAAAATGAAGCACCACTATTACGTATTTTGGATTAAATATGTATTTCGGATTTAAAAAAGGAATCCCAAACCCACCTCTTTCTGTGATTAAAGTGAAGCACCACTAATATATATTTCAGATTAAAAAAGGAACCCCACATCCACCTTTTTCCGTGATTAAAATGAAACACAACTATATATATATCAATATATCTATATATCTATAGATATCAATATGTATAGATATAGATCTATATCTATATTAATATATCTATATATCAATATAGATATATATCTATACATATACATACCGTTACAGTTATATATAGATAGATAAATAGATATAGCTCTATCTAGATATCTATAGCTATATCGATATTAGTGGAGTTTCATTTTAACCACAGAAAAAGGTGGATTTGGGATTCCTTTTTTTAAATTAAAAAATTGGGGATTTTTTTTTAATCAGAGAAAACCAGGATCGCTGGTCAGGAGAGAGTGCTGACAGGAAACCCCAAAAGTCTATTAAAATGCCCCAAGAATAATCTGGGTTTTGCATATTGCCAATTAGCTGCCTCAGAAATGATCCCACATTTTGAGCGCTTTTATTGGTATTATTATTTATTTTATTTA